CTTATTAGCATAAAGTTTTGAGAAGTATTCCCTTATAATGTTCTGAATCTTGGTTGTTTCCATGGTGATATTTCCATTCTCATCTCTGAGTTTATTTATTTGGGTGTGCTCTCTTCTTTTTCTGAGAGGATTTGCTAAGGATCTGTCATTTTTGTTAATTTTTTCGAAGAACCAACTCTTTGTTTTGTTGATTCTTTCTACGTTTTTTTTTTTTGGTTTCTAATTCATTTATTTCTGATTTAATTTTAATTATTTCTTTCCATCTACTGGATTGGGGTTTATCTTGGTGCTCTTTTTCAAGGAGGTTTAGATGTGTCATTAAATTCTTGGTTTCAGATCTCTACAGTTTGTTGATGTAAGAGCTCAGAGCTATAAACTTGCCTCTGAGTACTGCCTTTGCTGTGTCCCAGAGGAGCTGGTAATTTGTGTGCTCATTTTTGTTGAATAACATGAACATTTGAATTTCCTTTCTAATCTCTTCCATGACCCCCTCATGATTCAGCAGTGTGTTGTTCAGCCTGTATGTGGTACCAAACTTTCTTTGGTGGCTTTTGGTGTTGAGTTCTAATTTTATTCCCTTGTGGTCAGAGAGAATGCAAGGTATAACATCAATGTTTCTGAATTTGGACAGGTTTGCTTTGTGGCCTAAATTGTGGTCTATTTTAGAAAATGTTCCAAGTGCTGCTGAGAAAAACATGTATTCTTATGCTGCTGGGTGAAATATTCGGTAGATGTCTGTTAAATCTAGTTGATCTATGCAGCTGTTCAGATCTGTGGTTTCTCTGTTGAGTTTTTGCTGAGCTAATCTATCTAGTGGGGAGAGTGGTGTGTTAAAATCCCCAACAATTAATGTCTTTGCATCTATGTGGGATTTGAGGGAAACTAGTGTTTCTTTTAGAATTGTAATATCCTCCTGAAGGATAGATCCCTTAATTAGTATGTAGGGATCTTCTTTATCTTGATAAATTTTGCTCCAGCCTTTCACATTGAATATGTAGTTGTTTTTTTTTTTGTTTTTTGTTTTTACAGTCAAGATGTGACTCCTGAAGGCAGCAGATAGAAGGATCATGTTTTTTAATCCAACTAGGCAGTCTTTGTCGCTTAATTGGAGAGTTACGTCCCTTAATGTTGATAGAAAGGTCTGAGTGGTATTTGGGAGTTCCTGCCATGTTATCCACCTTCTTGGGAGCTGCGAAAATGGGGTTCTTCCTATGGTTCTTGGATTCTCAGTTTGGGTGCAGTTTTTTGACCTTTATTGTGGTCTTGTTGGTTTTCTATGTGTAGGACATCTTTAAGAATCTTTTGTAGGGC